TCTGACCGTTCTGCTCCCAGCATCTGTAACAACACCTGTGCGCAAATCTGCCAGTGTGACGAAGGCTTTGTCCGCAGCGGTGAGAAGTGCGTTCCGGTAGACACCTGCAATTGCATTTACCAAGGCGTGACCTATAAGGCAGGGGAAGAGTTCTGGGGAGATGAAGACTGCCAGAGTCATTGCAAGTGTGATGCCAAATTAGGCAAGGCTGTATGCCGAAAGTCTTCTTGCAAGGGCAAGAGAAAATGCAGCGTGGTCAATGGTGTCCAGGGATGCCATCCTGTCACTTACAAGACCTGCATAGGAACCGGAGACCCTCACTATACAACCTTTGATGGGAAGAAATACGATTTCATGGGAACCTGCATTTACCAAATGGCCGGGCTCTGCTCCCAGGATCCTTCTCTGACCCCATTTTTGGTCACCGTGGAGAATAACCACCGAGGCAACAAGGCAGTGTCCTTCACCAAAGTGGTGACTCTGGAAATCTACAACTTTACCATCAGTATGAGCCAAGAGTTTCCTGAAAAGATCCAGGTATGTAAACTAATCCAAGGAATGGCTTATTAATAATAAAAAAAGAGTCATTGCAAGGTTCACATTCTCAGGCATAAGACTTTCATAGGTGTTAAGTTCTCAGTGTTTCTTAGTTCTTGTTCCTCTATGGAGGTTTAGCTACGATTTCTCCAAACCAGGATGGGATGATAGTTGCAGATTGCACAGTATACATTTAAGGGGCCAGATATATGGGATTTGCACAGGCCAAAATGTTATCATCCCTAAGTTGATGCTCCCAATATAAATGTTGAAATAGTAAAATAATGTTCTGCACGGTAGAATCCCAAGTGATCCTCCAGGTTTTCAAGACTTATTAGTCTCACACAAAAATTTTCATGAGAAAAGCAAAATTGCATATGCTTTCATGGAATGATACCAAAAAAACACAGTTTAAAAAGACTACTGGCTTTTGATTTAGGGAGCTAACACCCAGCATATTTTCCTTGCTGCAGCTCTTCCAGAGACCTACTGAAGATATTAGTTAGGAATTATATTAGTGATGTATTTCATAATTAATACTACTGGTGTCAAGTATCTTACAATAGCTCATAATTCAAAACCTTAAAATAGGCAGGTATATTGGGAATAAAAGATGGAATGGGGTTAGCATACAGAATCCTGAACACTAGGAATGTATACAGAACTTTGATTCTTCTTTCTCAGTGAAGATATTAAAGGCAAGACTTCCATGTTGTTTTTGATCCAGTTCCCAATTTAATATTGCTTTAATAGGGAGAATGGAAGTCACTTATTTGATATCATAAAAATACCTATTTATATTCTGCAGTATCTTAGGAATGTCTATAGAATGTTTTTTCTTAGGCTCAGATACTTTCATGAGAATTAGTGAGGAAATTATTTCAGTTATCAATAAGCTAGTGTTTCAAATGTTCAAACAAATCATTTTATTTGTTATACTGTTTCATCTAATGCCAAATTTAAATTACACCTGCAATTTCCTATTTGGGTGTTTTGGCTATCTATCTATCTATCTATCTATCTATCTATCTATCTATCTATCTATCTATCTATCTATCTATCTATCTATCATCCATCCATCCATCCATCCAT